GGCTCTATCTCTTCTAGTTTCCCAGATAATTGGACTTTTATGTTTTTACTCAAAAAATCGATTTTTGGTCAGAAATTTAAGTGATCACAGATTTTCACTGTTTGGCTCTATCTCTTCTAGTTTCCCAGATAATTGGACTTTTATGTTTTACTCAAAAAAATCGATTTTTGGTCAGAAATTTAAGTGATCACAGATTTTCACTGGTTTGGCTCTATCTCTTCTAGTTTCCCAGATAATTGGACTTTTATGTTTTACTCAAAAAATCGATTTTTGGTCAGAATTTAAGTGATCACAGATTTTCACTGGTTTGGCTCTATCTCTTCTAGTTTCCCAGATAATTGGACTTTTAGACTCTTATTTAGATAATTGGACTTTTATGTTTTTACTCAAAAAATCGATTTTTGGTGAGAAATTTAAGTGATCAAGATTTTCACTGTTTGGCTCTATCTCTTCTAGTTTCCCAGATAATTGGACTTTTATGTTTTTACTCAAAAAAATCGATTTTGAAGTGAGAAATTTAAGTGATCACAGATTTTCACTGATTTGGCTCTATCTCTTCTAGTTTCCCAGATAATTGGACTTTTATGTTTTTACTCAAAAAAATCGATTTTAAGTGAGAAATTTAAGTGATCACAGATTTTCACTGGTTTAGCTTTATCTCTTCTAGTTTCCCAGATAATGGACTTTTATGTTTTTACTCAAAAAAATCGATTTTTGGTCAGAAATTTAAGTGATCACAGATTTTCACTGATTTGGCTCTATCTCTTCTAGTTTCCCAGATAATTGAACTTTTATGTTTTTACTCAAAAAATCGATTTTTGGTCAGAAATTTAAGTGATCACAGATTTTCACTGATTTGGCTCTATCTCTTCTAGTTTCCCAGATAATTGGACTTTTATGTTTTACTCAAAAAAATCGATTTTTGGTCAGAAATTTAAGTGATCACAGATTTTCACTGTTTTGGCTATATCTCTTCTAGTTTCCCAGATAATTGGACTTTTATGTTTTTACTCAAAAAATCGATTTTAAGTGAGAAATTTAAGTGATCACAGATTTTCACTGATTTGGCTCTATCTCTTCTAGTTTCCCAGATAATTGGACTTTTATGTTTTCACTCAAAAAATCGATTTTTGGTCAGAAATTTAAGTGATCACAGATTTTCACTGGTTTGGCTCTATCTCTTCTAGTTTCCCAGATAATTGGACTTTTATGTTTTTACTCAAAAAAATCGATTTTTGGTCAGAAATTTAAGTGATTTTCACTGGTTTGGCTCTATCTCTTCTAGTTTCCCAGATAATTGGACTTTTATGTTTTTACTCAAAAAATCGATTTTTGGTCAGAAATTTAAGTGATCACAGATTTTCACTGATTTGGCTCTATCTCTTCTAGTTTCCCAGATAATTGGACTTTTATGTTTTTACTCAAAAAAAATCGATTTTTAGTCAGAAATTTAAGTGATCACAGATTTTCACTGTTTTGGCTATATCTCTTCTAGTTTCCCAGATAATTGGACTTTTATGTTTTTACTCAAAAAAAAATCGATTTTAAGTGAGAAATTTAAGTGATCACAGATTTTCACTGATTTGGCTCTATCTCTTCTAGTTTCCCAGAGAAATTTAAGTGATCACAGATTTTCACTGATTTGGCTCTATCTCTTCTAGTTTCCCAGATAATTGGACTTTTATGTTTTCACTCAAAAAATCGATTTTTGGTCAGAAATTTAAGTGATCACAGATTTTCACTGATTTGGCTCTATCTCTTCTAGTTTCCCAGATAATTGGACTTTTATGTTTTTACTCAAAAAAAATCGATTTTTGGTCAGAAATTTAAGTGATCACAGATTTTCACTGTTTTGGCTATATCTCTTCTAGTTTCCCAGATAATGGACTTTTATGTTTTTACTCAAAAAATCGATTTTTGGTCAGAAATTTAAGTGATCACAGATTTTCACTGATTTGGCTCTATCTCTTCTAGTTTCCCAGATAATTGGACTTTTATGTTTTCACTCAAAAAATCGATTTTTGGTCAGAAATTTAAGTGATCACAGATTTTCACTGGTTTGGCTCTATCTCTTCTAGTTTCCCAGATAATTGGACTTTTATGTTTTTACTCAAAAAAATCGATTTTTGGTCAGAAATTTAAGTGATCACAGATTTTCACTGGTTTGGCTCTATCTCTTCTAGTTTCCCAGATAATTGGACTTTTATGTTTTTACTCAAAAAATCGATTTTTGGTCAGAAATTTAAGTGATCACAGATTTTCACTGATTTGGCTCTATCTCTTCTAGTTTCCCAGATAATTGGACTTTTTTGTTTTTACTTAAAAAAATCGATTTTAAGTGAGAAATTTAAGTGATCACAGATTTTCACTGATTTGGCTCTATCTCTTCTAGTTTCCCAGATAATTGGACTTTTATGTTTTCACTCAAAAAATCGATTTTTGGTCAGAAATTTAAGTGATCACAGATTTTCACTGGTTTGGCTCTATCTCTTCTAGTTTCCCAGATAATTGGACTTTTATGTTTTTACTCAAAAAAAATCGATTTTTGGTCAGAAATTTAAGTGATCACAGATTTTCACTGATTTGGCTCTATCTCTTCTAGTTTCCCAGATAATCGGACTTTTATGTTGTTACTCAAAAAAATCGATTTTAAGTGAGAAATTTAAGTGATCACAGATTTTCACTGTTTTTGCTATATCTCTTCTAGTTTCCCAGATAATTGGACTTTTATGTTTTCACTCAAAAAAATCGATTTTTGGTCAGAAATTTAAGTGATCACAGATTTTCACTGATTTGGCTCTATCTCTTCTAGTTTCCCAGATAATTGGACTTTTATGTTTTTACTCAAAAAAATCGATTTTAAGTGTGAAATTCTAGTAATCACAAATTTTCACTGGTTTGGCTCTATCTCTTTTAGCTTCCCAGATAATTGGACTTTTATGTTTTCACTCAAAAAAATAGATTTTTGGTCAGAAATTTAAGTGATCACAGATTTTCACTGGTTTGGCTCTATCTCTTCTAGTTTCCCAGATAATTGGACTTTTATGTTTTCACTCAAAACAACGATATTTGGTTAGAAATTTAAGTGATCACAGATTTTCACTCTAGATTTTCACTTCTAGTTTCCCAGATAATTGGACTTTTATGTTTTCACACAAAAAATCGATTTTTGGTCAGAAATTTAAGTGATCACAGATTTTCACTGTTTTGGCTTTATCTCTTCTAGTTTCCCAGATAATTGGATTTTTATGTTTTCAATCAAAAAATCGATTTTTAGTGAGAAATTTAAGTGATCACAGATGTTCACTGTTTTGGCTCTATCTCTTCTAGTTTCCCAGATAATTGGACTTTTATGTTTTCACTCAAAAAATCGATTTTTGGTGAGAAATTTAAGTGATCACAGATGTTCACTGTTTTGGCTCTATCTCTTCTAGTTTCCCAGATAATTGGAATTTTTTGTTTTTACTCAAAACATCGATTTTTGTAATTTTGCTTAATTTAAAAGCACAAAATTTTCTTTTAAACTTAAAATAATACAACATGGCAATCAAATTAATTAAATTAATTTCGAATTTGATAACAGTTTAAAAATTCAATTACACAAAACTCTCCAATTTTATAAAAATGTTAAATGAAAGCAGTGAAATGAGTGAACAAAATAAAAATAATCATAATAAAGCTTCTTCATCAACAAACGATACTTTCCAAAATAATCTAAAAACTATCAAACCTTCATATCTCAAACTAACCTATCTAGATTATCTACGACAACAATATGCCAAGAAATTTCTCAAGACAACGCATACCGATTATTTAAAAGCAGAATTTTTTAAAGGATATGATAAGTGGAATTCTTTGGAAAATATACATGAAATTAGAACGATCAACTACCAGGAAAACAAGATTGATGAACACATAATAACGGAAAAAGCGTCTGATCAAGCTTCCAATAAACCATTAAAGAAAACAAATATTTTTAAAGATTTATTTAGATTGAAAACAAAGCAACCTCCAAACGAAGAAGTAGATGGTTTTGTTTGGGTGGAAGATCCTCAAGATTTAAGGAAAAATAGTTTACGTTGGAAATTAAGAAAATATTTTCTACAAGATCCTGAATTAGACAAAGCCAAGCACAAAGATGGTGAGGATTATATGTTTGAGGATTTTGTGTTGGTAGAACCAGATTTAACAAAAGATTTAAAACAAGATAATAAATTAAAAAATGGTTTAATAGATTTTACTGCGGGATCATTAGGTAATTAGGAGTAAATTTAAGAATTAAATTATAGTTTTTAAGTGTTTCATAATTTTAAGCTGGTATTGCCCAAGTTTATGTCTCTCAGCCCTTGGACACGGTTAAGGTGAAGCAACAAACTTTCCCCAAACTTTATAAAACAATGTTTAAATGTTTTCTACACACCTATCGCAAAGATGGCATATTTCGGGGTCTTTACGCCGGCACATTACCAGCTGTGATCTCTAGTGTGGCTGAAAATTCGGTATTATTTGCCGCCTATGGCGCTTGCCAAAAGGTTGTGGCTTTTGTTATGGATATTGAAGATGTTATTGAATTGTCAGCACTGGGTAATGCGTGTGCAGGTTTTCTAGCAGCCTTCTTTTCTACGTTCACTTTGTGTCCCACGGAATTGATTAAATGTAAATTACAGGCGGTTCATGAGGTGGGAAATTACTAAACTTTTGCAATGATAAAATAAACGATTTTAAACGTTAATTCCAGATGAAACATTATGTGACAAAAGGCAGCAAGGCGACACCTATAACGACCTTTAAATTAACACAAGATATATTCTTAACCGAAGGTAAATTTACGAAGTTATATTCGGTTGCGTTGGTCTTTTATGTTATGTCGTTCCGAAATTGAGTTATTAGTATCATACCCTCCAGCATATGTTCCTTACTTAAGAAGCAGCTGGGTAATGCTATATATCATTTACCAAGTTATTATATTTTAGGGGTTTCCGGTTTTTATCGTGGTCTAA